GTTGTGTCTCATGTATAATTGCAATATGAACACGACCACTAAACTAGATATTGGCCGACTTCAGGTGGAATTTGATTAGTGATACAATCTAGTTATAATTGGGTTCCACTACTTCTTAAACTAATTATGTAGCACAGAAGATGGGTTAACTCCATATATTGAAGAGTCTCATGGTGTCCTTCTCTCTCAGTAGCTTACTTCTTTGAGCTTGATATGCTAAAGTGGATGACTTAGTAAAAGACTAGTATGCTTTGGCATCATCTTTCATGTTTCCCAAGAAAAGAAAGATATATTTGAATAAGGAAAAAGGGTTGGGTGGCTTGAAAAAACTCGTCCAGATTTTGAACTTGAGGATCTATATACCAAGAATGCACAAAGAATGCCTCACACTTATCGTATGTCGAGTTTGCATCCACTCAAGTTTGAATTGTGCAGGATAATGCAAATGCCTTAAAGACTCAACTTGATCAGCAGAAGGCCGTGGTTGACAATCTGGTCAGCAATACACGGGTGCGTTCCTAACCTTTTCTTTTTTTATAGGGGTGCTTATTATTCTGGAGCACAGCTTCTTTACCAAAAAACTGAGGAAGATATGATGCTTTGATTGCTCATTTTATGATTTGCGAGTACATATACATGTTTTTCACTTGATAAAAAAGTTTGTTCTTTAAGCCACAAGACTTGGTTCAAGTGGCAAAGGCTTGGGGACGTGTGACTTAGGTCACAGATCCAAGACTTGTGCCATGCGAACTAAATCTAGTATTTATGTGAGAAGGAAGAGGGGCGAGGCCATTATCCCCGAGATTTGAGGGCTACGATTGGTTCTAAGGGTTGGCCCCGAATGGATTTCTCGGTCATAAAAAAAATTGAGAAGTTTGATCTTTAATCTGAGTAGTTTTTGGGGATATTTATTGTTAGTTCCATCTAAGAACAAATTTTACCAAAATCTGTGTGTTGCACTTTATGTTAAAAATGAATTGGAACCTTTTATCTTTGACTGTTGTCATCTCTCATCTGACAGCTTTTGGAGAGCAAGATACAAGAAGCAAAATCAAAGAAGGATACTCTGAAAGCACGTGCTCAGTCAGCAAAGTCAGTTACATGCCTTCTCATCATTTCATGTTTATCTTGAATTACAAATATCCAGGACTGACACTTTTGGCTATCCCTCTTGTAAGGGGCATATCCCCCAACTTATCAATAAAATTATCGCATCAACATAAAAATATATGTGGCTCATAAATTGTCACACTTCATTTGTTTCGTTTCAAGAAAATGACTATGAGGTTTATCATTTAGGACGGCAACCAAAGTAAGTGAGATGTTGGGAAATGTAAACACAAGCAGCGCTCTCTCAGCCTTCGAAAGAATGGAAGAAAAAGGTTCTGACAGAATTCCACCCTATCTTTCTCTGTTTTCTTCTTTTGCTTCCAATTTCTGATGCTTACTTTGCTTCTACTTTAAATATTTCTTGTCTTGTAGTAATAGCTTTAAGAGGTTGATTTTCTGCTTGCCTATACAAACAATAAGACTGAATGCTGATCCTGTCACAACATTTTCCTTCTGTCAACTACAAAAATATAACCTTTATAGAACTGTCAGGTTACAATTGTTGAGTCCAGCTGTCATTTCTTATAAAAGAAAGATATACACTAGAAGGGTAAATGATAAGTCTTATAAAAAGAGGAAATATGGTAAGGTACAATTCAGAGATCATCTTGGGGATAAAAAACAACCTATAAAGAAGATGCTGTACCTTTTTTTTTTTCCAAATAAGGATGAAACGGCCCTGTTATAATGCTGAGCTGAGCGAGATGTAACAAAATTGAAGTGTGCCAAAAGATGTTGGTATGAGTAGTGCTTTTGTTGTAAAACCAACATATTTTTGCGCAGCTATTTAGAGACATGTTCTTGTCACAGAATTATTCTCCTCCCACCCTTGAACACAACTTGACTGTTGAAAATAAGAGTTGGTTATCCTGGATATAATTCAGATGAAACTATGGAATCACCTACTGCAGTCACATGCTTAAGTATATGTTGTTGATTAAATGATTGTCTTACTTTTTCTTCATTTTCCATAGTTTTGACGATGGAGTCTCAAGCAGATGCTCTTAACCAGTTAACCAGTGATGAGCTTGAAGGAAAGGTAATTATTTTTTCTCAATTGCATTACTTTTTTAAGGTCGTGTGCTCTTCGTAATTCTCTCTTTGTACGAGTTCAAGAGTTGCTTTCTTCGAATAACCAGAAAATCTGTTCTCCTCTTCCCCATGCAAGTTTCAAACTTCGATTCTCTGTATGGTTGAATTTTACAACTCTCTCTCTTTCAATCTTTCTGGTTTTGTTACTAGCCATTACCTCTTATTTTCCTCTTGCCATTGTTTGTTGAAACCTGAAGCAATGGTAATATTTGGTGTCTCCCTTGTGCTGCAAACAACGTTTTAACTTCCATTGTGCAAAGCTTTCGTGGGAGAATTTAGTGCTTCTTAGGGGATTGCATTTTTTTAATCTTAAATGATCATTCTGCTTTGACAGTTTGCATTACTGGAGACCTCTTCTGTTGATGATGATCTTGCTAGCTTAAAAAAGGAATTGAGCGGAAGCGCCAAGGTGAGTTCTACTCGATCTATCCATATAATGTATATGAAATGTTTTGGATGTATCTTCATTGTTGAATGCACGAATTAATAGAAGTATGGGCACCTAGAGGACAAACTTAATTGAGCTATGCTTGGCCAAATATGCTAATTATACCAAGCAACAGGATTTCTAGGATAGAAGAAAATAATCACGAACGTTGGCCAGCTATTTTCTTTTTTCTCCCTGATATTGTTAATGGGTGATGTCAAATTTGAATAAATCGAACTGCATATTGTAAATAAGATGAGACGAAGTATGAGTTGCTTCTTTCCATTGTACACACTTATGGCTAAGTTAATTGTGTAGCCATGAAATTGTATTATCCATAAAAGCAGCTTGGTTTGGATGTTCATAAGAACTTGAAGGTGTCCTTCAACGACGAATTAAGAAAGGAAGTCCGAACAACCTTAAAAGAAAGAAAGTCTAACATGACATTTTACGTACCTATGATGATTATAGGTCATGTTGCTTGTTGCTTCCTTGCTTTGGCAAATCTCTTATTTTTTACTTGGAAAAAACCGAAAATTAGCGTGCATATTTGGTCAACTTGAGAGGGTGCGGGAGGTACTTGAGGACGCATAATTAGCTCTATTGTGCCCCCCCCCCCCCCCACCGCCAAGGCTTTGGTCCAGTGGTAAGAGCGTAGTACGTAATGTGTGAGCTAGGGGCACATCACAAGCCGTGCCTCAATTGGCCCGCGGAGAATTTTCTCAACTATCAGGAAAAGAAACAACATAATCTGCTTTATTGTTGATGTAGAGCTGAGGTATTTTGGTTTAATGTTTTCCTTTTATTGACTAAGCAGAAAGGGGATCTTCCACCGGGGAGAACACCAGTTACCAGATCAAGCTCGCCATTACAATTTCAAGATTCAGAGATTGAAAAAGAATTGAACGAGTTAAGGAGGCGGGCAAATGACTTCTAGAGATCACAGTCGATCTTTCACACTACAAAACATCTTCCTTCAGGCATTTGTTACTCAAAGATTGTGGCTTTTGGATCTTCCGAGAAGTTGCCTCATCGATAAAGGCCAGCGAATATAGGAAGTGAAACTGGAAAAAGTATATTGAGATATGTTGATATATCTTTTTTCAAATTATTGACCTACATTATGGCAATATAGTGTAAGCTAGTCCTGACTACAGTTTTGTATACTGCCACCCAAATGTTTTCATGTGAGAATAGTCACTTCAAGTTGCATTGTAGTAGATTTGGAATTTCCACAGTGTTGTTTTTGCTCTCATTTTGTGACGACATGCTTCAAACTTTCTTCGCAAGGTACGGGCAAGGTTGTGTATACACCATCCTCCTCAAAATCTTATTTTTGTCTCATAAATAATGAGCTACTCGGAATAATGTAGCGATGGTCCCTTTCTCTTTGACATGAACTTAGTGAAACTGAGTTCTCTGCAAAGATGCGGTGTAGCGAATGTAGGGTTGTTCAAAATTGATCGGAACCGATATTCCGTATCGAAAAAAAGTTATTGGTTTAGCGGTTTTGAGAACGGCTTTGATTTTTTTTTTGTTATCGGGTTATCTTTTGAGGTTATCTCTTAACTGGATAACTGATAATCCGATGGTTAATTAAATAATTATATTCATATCATTTTGCTTATAAAGTCCTTAATTTAGAGTTTGGTTTCCTACTTTTGTTTCTGATTGTCTCAAACACTTGGTTATTCTACGATGTAAAAGTGTTTGCTTTTGAGCAAGATGAAACTTGTGAATTCATGTGCATGGTTAAATTGGTTTGCCACCTTGTTCTAAAGTGATTTTCAATGTGTTTTTTTGTCAAACTTAACGGTTAAATAAATTATCGAACCGAACGATCAATAACTGATAAGCTAATCTTAATGGTTCTACAACCGTTTAGCATATCTACAAATCGATAACTAATAAGTCAAATCGATAAACTTCAAAGCCGAAGTGTTCGATATGTAGCCCTAACTGAACGGATAGACGATAAGACCCTATGTACCTCAACTATAACTTAAATGTGTACGATAAGTTAGAGATGGCAACACACAACAATCAATTGATTAATCCTGAACTTCACAACAACTTTAATCGAATGTACAGATGAGAGGTGGCAACACATAACATAACAACCAACTGACAAAGAACTTCACACAATCTTAATTGAACCTATATGATATTTGAGAGGTGGCGACGCACAACGAGCTATATTGAAAATTACTCGTTGATCAATCAATAATCCGTTGTAGTCTAGTTGGTTAGGATACTCGGCTCTCACCCGAGAGACCCGGGTTCAAGTCCCGGCAACGGAAATTATTTTTTTTCTAATTTTTTAATCAAAATAATGCATTACAACTTGTACCTCAAACAACAAAAATCCATCTTTATAAACACCCAAAAAAAACCTCACATTTCCCCTAAAAATGGCTTCCATTCCTCTTCTCCGTTTCACTCCCACTACTACCCCTCGTCTTCTCCCCCACCCTCTCAGCCTCAATTTACTCCAAACCCGTATTCAAACCCGAACCCGTATCCATACCAAACCCACCACTTCCATCTCCGCCTCTTACAACCCAATCCCCGCCACCGACCGCCTTATCTCCGCCGTCGCTTACTTTCTCCCCTTCTTCAACGGCCTTCAATACGGCCGTTTCCTCTTCGCTCAATACCCAACCCTAGCTCTTCCATTTCAACCAATTCTCCCTCTTCTATCACTCTACCGGTCCCTCCCATACGCTAGCTTTGTCACTTTCTTTGCACTCTACTTAGGTATTGTTCGGAACGAGAATCTGAACAAGTACCCCCGGTTCAACGCCCTGCAAGCGGTGGTGCTCGACGTTCTACTGGTGCTTCCGATGTTGATTCAGAGGATATTTTCACCGGGTCAATCGGGTATTGGGCTGAAATTTACGGTTTGGATGCATAATGGGCTTTTTGTGTTTGTTGTGGGCTGTTTTATTTATGGGCTTGTTTCTTCTATACTTGGAAAAACTCCTTATTTGCCTTTTGTTACTGAAGCTGCTAATAGGCAAATGTAGTTCTTTTTAAAATTTATTTAATATGTTGTTTTGTGGTTTTCTCTAATGAAAGGAAGGTTTTTGTTGCATAGAATTGTAATTTTAATGTATGATATTTTAAATCGAATCGTCGATGAGATGTTTCTCCATGAGAGATGCAATGGAAAGGGCTCGTAAAGTTCAAATCTTGATAAAGTAACTTCTTGGGATAAATAATAATATCTTGATTTTGTAATGGAATCATTACACGTTATACTTCACACCGAACAACTCGTAAATGTACTAGTAATAATGGGTTTTCAATAATACATTGTTTCTTTATCAGCTATCAAACGATCTCTAAGGAATATCAATGGCTTTTGTTGAATAGAGAATATAATTCCTTTGCTTATATCAACACTTTTCAAGGTTTGGTCTACATGCATATCATACATTGTCCTCCTCAGATCCCACTTGTGGGATTACGCTGACTATGTTGTTTCTGTTGTCGTAAGTTACATTGTTAAAGGGTTGAACTTCAACAAAGAATAATAAAACTACATTTTGTTCATCATGCAAGGCCAAAACCAGAATACTATCATTGACCAGAAAAACGATAGGGCTTCATAACCTGAAAACCATCTCAATGTAACCATAGGATCATTCATTCTTCTGGTGAAGCAAATTAGGGAGCTCTAATTGAACGACTCTTGCAAGTGTAAAACCTTTAATCGCGCCAAATCTTCATCACATTAGAACTACCATAACTTGAGTTGCTAATAGACTCCCAACAAGTCGCTGCGTAAACTATACAGTACTCCAGCCAACTTCTTTCCTCACTTTCCTGTCTTTCATTATTTTCCTCACCATTTCTACCTCTTCCCACATTCCTACACAACTATATAGGTCTGAGATTGAGATGTAGTACCCATCATTTTCCGGATCAGACTCAATAGCATGTTTTGCGATTCTTATACCCTTCTCAACCTGACTGTGAAGTTTACAAGAACTTAGTAAAGAACCCCAGATAGCTGCATCTCGAGCTATTGGCATGGACAAAACCAAAGTTTCAGCGTCATCCAGATTACCAGAACGACCAAGAAGATCAACCATACAAGAATAGTGCTTCAGTGTGGGCATCAACGAATAATCTTTCATTCGACTAAATATGGACTTTCCTTCTTCAACCAGCCCTGCATGAGCACACGCTGAGAGCACAGCAAGAAAAGTAAGTTCATTCGGCTTAATTTCCGTCTGTTCCATGTTTTTGAACATTTCTATAGCATCATTTGCTTCTCCATACATAGCATAGCCTGATATCAGTACGTTCCAAGAAACGATGTCTTTCTTTTCCATTGAATCAAATATTTCTCTGGACTTTGTTAGCTGTCCACATTTTGCGTACATATCAGTCAATGCAGTATCAAGCAAAGTATTATTTCCGAACCCAACTTCCTTGATGTATTGATGAACTTTCTCTCCTTTCTCCAGGGAAGACACTTGAGAAGAAGCGGAGAGCAAAATCACCAGCGTTGCAATATTAGGCTTGTAACTTTCTGCTCTCATCTCATCAAAAAGACCAAAAGCCTCCGCAATGTTTCCACAACTAATATAGGAAGTCATCATTGTGTTCCACGTAACAACATCCTTATCGGTCATCATACAAAAGACTCTCCATGATAAAGTAAGATTCTTTCTTCTTCCATACATATCTATTAGAGAATTGGCAACAGAAACATTTCCAAGCATCAGGTTTTTTATAATATGACAATGCAGAGATTCACCTAAACGGAATTTTTCCAACCGAGAGCAAGAAGAAATCACAGATATCAGGCTGTTGACATCAGATTCCATTCCCAAGTATTGCATATCTCTGAATAAATCAATGCAGTTGGCTTCTAATCCGGCCTTCCAATAGCCAATCGTCATCACGTTCCAAGCCTCTGTGTTTTGTTCATTCCCTCCATTAAATATCTTTTCTGCCAAATTCAAGAGTCTAAGCTTGCAATACATGGCCAGTAATGCGTTACCAACCATGTGATCCTCATCGTAGTTTCTTCTCAAGATGAATCCATGGAAAGTCTTAGCTTCCAAAATCATCGCGACATTACCTAAACCAGAAAGCACACAACTAATTACCATCCCATCCGGGGTAATCCCACTAGCCAGCATTCTCAAGAACATATCAACACATTCACCTATACACTCATATTTTGCATAAACGCCAATTACTACCGTCCAGGAAAACAAATCCTTCTCATCGACCTCACAAAACGAACGATATGTTTCTTCAACCGAACCACATTTCGAGTACATTAACAAAACAGAAGACTGAACAACTTGATGATAACCAAAACCAGTTTTCATACCCAACCCATGAAAACACTTACCTTCTACCAATGCACCTAAATTCCCACAAGCTTGAAATCCACCTTCCAAAGTGCGAAAATTCGGCCTCACCTCACCTTCTCCATTCTTACACATCAAACAAAAATACTCCAACCCTTTACCACTCTCTCCATTCTCTACACACCCTTTTATAATCGCAGTCCAAGAGACAACATCTCTCACAGGCATTTCATCAAACACATCACACGCATACCCCATAACCCCACATTTCGAGTACATATATACCAACGAAGCTCCAACAGCACTATTACCATCAAAAAGATTCAATTTTAACACCAACCCATGAACCCCCATCCCAATTTCAACCAACCCAAGTTCCGCACAAGCAGAAACAACCATTGGTATCGTAAACTGATTAGGCAGAGCATTAAAACACCGCATACCGGAGTAAAACTCAAGCGATTCTGTGTATTTCCCGTTAGAAAAATAAGCTTTGATAATCGAATTCCAAAGAAAAGGGTCTTTAAAATTGATGAAATCAAACACTTTCCTTGAAGAAATGAGGTCATTGTTCGAAGCATAAAGAGAGATGAGCTTTGCTGCTATGTACACGTTCTGGGTATGGCCAGTTGTGATTATGAAGGCGTGAGATTGAAGAAGGGATTTGAGGTTTGAAGAAAAGCCATTAATGGAGAAGAATGTGTTGATTTTGTGGTGAAGATTTTGAAGTTTAGTTCTTAACATGGAGAGAGTGTACAATTGAAGCAAAAACAAGAAATGGGGTAATATAAATTTTATTAAATTAATTTGATTTTTTAAAGTTCTTTTCGATAATTTACTTCGATTTTCAAGAAACATTTCAATTCGATCAAAATAACACTTTATGAATATAGAAATATTCAAAAAAAAATAAAAATAATTTTTTTAGTTAAAAATAAATATTTCGATATCGATCGACAAATGTTTTTTGCACAAACACCAATTCATATATTTATAATAATAGTAATAATAATAACAATATAAACAATTTTTTTTATACTAATACCAATTCATATACATATGATATTAAAATTTTAGTTGTTTTATAATCATATCATTCGTACCATGTCAACCCTTAATGCTAAACCAAGGGAATTTTTAAACAATTATAAATAGACTTATTATTCAAAATGAGAATATGTACCCAAATTTAATTATTTAATTTTGGAGAGATTAAATTTTCCAAATTTTTTGTATAAGCAAAATCATTTTGAAGAGTAGATGAATTAATATCATCACCATCTAATGGTCACCTTCAATTTCTTAATCTGAATGATTCATTAGATGTCTTAAATATATATATATATAAATACACGATATGTATAAGGTAAACTATATATATATATATATTGGGGTCAGTGGTAAGTCTCCTGAATATGAAGTTTCATGCCCCAGTTTAAATCCATGCGATAAAATTTATTTATTTTCTTTTTTTAGTCTCAGTTTATTTATTTTTTTTAAAAAATCACGTCTATTTTTTAATTTTTTTTAGCCTTATTTTTTAAATTTTAAAACGTAACTAAAAGTATGATTTTAAACTTCAAAAAAATTCAAGGGTCCCACTTCTAAAAACTTTTATACACATTTATACGTTTATTTTTCGATCCCCTAAACGTAAAATCCTGAGTCCGCCACTAACTTTCACTACTTCAATTATTTATGATGTTACAAATTAGTAACAACACATCACGTTTAGAAACCTATATCTTGACATCCCTTCATTGGATATCGTGAAAAATTTAATCCACAATTTTTAAAGTCCATACTCTTTCATTATCCATAAAATAACTATATATAAAATGAGTGTATCACAGTAGGTATTAGGTATGGATATCAAGAATTTCCTCTTGAACGTCGTGAATATGCATAGCTTCCAAGGAAGAAACAAAAATAAAATAAAATAGGGTTTATGGTTAATTAAGTTAGTGACTCTATTTATAATAAAACAATCTTTTTGTTAATTTTTTTTAAAAAAAATATAAAGTCCTTGTACAAGTAAACTTTGAATTCTAAAAGGATTCATATTTATGTAACTTTGATCTCTGAATTATTTAATTAACGTGCAAATTTATTTTTTTTAAGATAGAACTAATCAAAATTGTGAACTCATAAAATCTACTTATTAATTTGAAAATTGTGAAATTAGCTGCCTAGTTGACCTAAGTCCTCGTCTTGGTAGATAGAGTATATGGTACCTCTTGTTGATAAAAGGTACGGAATTCATCACGAAGGTTGACCCGAACTTCAGGATCTTTAAAAATAAATAAATAAATAAATCAAATATACATTAATTGGACTCATTCATCTCTTTAAGCGAAAGGAAGCAAATCCTCTTTCATGGCCTTCACACTTTAAGATTCATCTGGTTTTTCATGCAAGCATCCTCAAATCATATCATGAGGACAAGGAAGACCTGCGTTGGAACCAGTTGAGACGGGCACCCATAACTATCACTGCCTTGCACGATCGAGAGATTGAGTCTTAATAGACTATCAAGCAAAACGAAAGTGAGGTAAACAAGCCAGAGCCTTATTCCTTGTTCATTGTAAGGGACAAACTCTAGATAGGTCACATGGGAGAAATATGAAGACTTGTGGCAGTTCAAGGACTGAGAGGAGTTCTTGCATCAATAGGTGGGGGAAAGTGTCATGTCCCTACTTTGTTAGTCAAATTTTGCATCGGGATAGAGGAGAAAGAATCTAGAGTTGTAGAAAGGATTATGGAGAACTCTAGAACTTCCAAGACAACTTCAAAAAGGCTTTAGAAATACAGAAATCGTTAAAATATGTAAAAAAGAAATCTAGAAATCCCTAGAATATCTAAAAAAAAATTGGAAAGGGACCAAACAATAATTATTAGAGGAACTTATAAAGTAAATAATTACACTTTAGCTCCTAGAGAGTAGTATAAATAAAGCAGCTTCATTTGCAAACCATCACTCAACTTGTAAAGCCTTCAAACAAATACAAAATCTTCTTCCAAAAGCTTCTCTAAATCTCTCCGGGTCTTTCTTTACATTTTCGAGCATCAAAAGGCTTACTTGAGATGCTTATTATAGCAAATAAAAAATCAACTTATCTAAGTCTCTCCGAGTCTTTATTTACATTCTCGATATAGCTTCAAAAGGCTTACTTGAGTTGCTTATTCTAAGGTTGAAAGAGTCGTGATGAAGCTTCTCTTCAAAAGGCTTACTTGAGCTGCTTATTCTAAGGTTGAAAGAGTCGTGATGAATCTTCTTTTGCCATATTATAAGGCTCTTCAAAAGGCATGCTTGAACTGCTTATTCTAAGGTTGAAAGAGTCGTGATAAAGCTTCTTCTATCATATTATAAGGCTTCATATTATAAGGGGTTTTCAGGAGAGTTTGAAGGTTTCTTCCACCCTAAAGGGTTTTCAGGAGAGGCTCAAAGAATTTAGGGTTTTCAGGAGAGGCTCAAAGAAAGGAGCAGGGGTATAACTGACAGAGTCAAAGTGCTAATATCTAAAGTAAGATATTAAATATTGCATGCAATGATCAGAACAAACAGTATGAACATAACATAACAGAAATCTTTCATAATGTCATACCTTTTTTTGTTGATGGTTGTCGTTTTCTTCTTGAGCAGCCTGAGTTAGATGTTGCACTTGTTTATACAAGTCGTTTATTGTTTTTTCCAAACCCTTTTTAGTTATTGTTTTATTAATTTGAATGTCGGTAATATTTGTTTACATCTTGTAACTATTTTGAGTAAAAAAATTAACGATTGATAATGAAAAATGACAACGAAAAATACTTTAATCATAAACATTTTAATGGACCTCTTCACATTAAATTTACGCAAACAAAAAGTAATCAACAACTTAATCTAAAAATTGTATATACTAGCAAACTATTAATTCAAATTAAATGCTATAAATATACTTTGATTTAATTGTACCCTATAACAAACTATAGCTATTTTCGCCACTTTCCTTGGTTGAATCTCGCTCGCCACTCTCGTTTGGTGGTAGTTTCGCTCGCCTTTCTCGCTTTTTATACAAACACAAATGTATAAAATGTGTGTTTGTATAAAGCGAGAGGAATAGTATAAATTAGGGGTGTCAAAAATGAACTCAAACATGGTAACCCGCCCAGAGTTTTAAGGGTTGGGATCGAGATAATTTGAATTGGGTTCAATCTCAACACATTCAAGATTAACCCATTTGAAGAGAATTCTCAATTGAGCCCAATTCAATCTCCAATTTCAACCCGTTTTAGAACTTTTTATTAAGATATATTCTCATATTGAAAGTATGAATTATTATCGATTTAACATCTTTTATGATTTATCTATCAATTTGTTACTTTTTTAACAAAAAATTCTTGAGCGAAATTCAAATTGTGATTATACAAGTTAAATATCAATATGTTAAATTATTAAGATTAGTCGGGTCAAATTGGGCGGATCAAGACCCAACCCATTTTTAAGCTCATTTGAGCCTAACCCATTTGAGCCCAAAGTAAACTTGAGCGGATCAAAACCCAACCCGATTTCTATTTAACCCATTATAATATTTCCAATTTCAACCCAACCCGCCCATTTGACACCCTTAGTATAAATACATATATTTTCGTTCCCGCCTCTCCCCTCTCCTAGATCTCGCTTGCCACTCACCCTAATCTTGCTTGCCACCCTCGCCTCTCTCGCTTATACTAACATATTCGAAATGTATAAATCGCTTTGTATAAAGTGAGAGAAAACTATGTATACACATGCAAAAACATATATTTTCATCCTATACACTTATGATTATACAATACAAATATTTTTCCGCTCAAGTCTCTTTTGCCTTTCTCTCTTTCTCGTTTTATACAAATTCAAATTGTATATAACTTCTCTCTTTCTCGTTTTATACAATTCACTTTAATTATATATGTATAGCGAATTATACATATATATGTTTGCTATGGAGCATAATTATGCAAACTTTGTTATAGCATATTTTGTGTTTGCTATATGTGAATGTTGCCCTTTTTAGAAACCTTATGTTATATGACAGCATAGATATACTTTCAAGATTCTTATCCTTCAATTATTGCTTTGATATCAAATTTGTCACAGTTAAATTTAATATTTAGTTGTGACCGTTACCCAAATATAATGGATTTATTTTTAAGAAATTCATTAAATAGGTGTAAGCTATTAGTTTAAAATACAGTTACCTAAACGAACTACAATCACAAACTCATAAATTTTAAATTTTGACTTCGGCTTCACTTGAAACATTCTCCTAAGTGTAATTTTCATCCAATACTAGTCCTTTTACTCGCACACTTTTAACTTCCCATATTTTGGATATGCAAAACAAACACACACACACACAGAGATATATATATATATATATATATTTATAGGGATAATACTCAAGTACTCCCTCAACCTATGCCCGAAAT